TTAACTAGCCAGATGCTGGTCTGCAAGCTGCTGAGCTGCACTCCTGGCTATTTGCATGCTGTGGCTGTGCGCTTGCATGGGGCATTTACCGGCCACATTATCAGCCGCATCAGGCAACAAAAGCCAATTTCCAGTACTTTCAATTTGCCCTACATCTGTGACAATCCAATAAGGGACTGACGTATCGGTGCACCTCCAGTTGTAGTAAGAGGGAACTGTACTTCCCTGTATTAGGAGGAGGGATGCTTTGAGGACAGTTGTTCAGTATTTAAAAGTCTCTGGGTTCTTTAGATGGAAGGTAATGGGAAAATGTGGAGTGTCCTTAAATTTGGATGTAAAAGTTTCCTCATTTATAAAATGGGATTTTCCACGGACCAATATTCTGTATAGTCCTCCCTGTGCACACTGCGGAAACCTCAAAGCAGAACGTCAGGACAACCTTCTAATATTAACTGCAAACAAATGCATTATAAGAAATCCATCTTTCAGAACTGAGGTGGGAACAAGGGGTCACACCCTTCAGTTGGATTCTGAACATTCGGTTTCAGAAATAGGAGGATGGGATTCAGCCCAAAAAGTGGGCACACACCAGTGGTTTCGCACCTTTTGTGGCCAGCAGACTGCCATCAACCCTCAACAGTTTCCACTCTACCTGTACACAGGCATGTAGGCTGCTCCAATGCGCTGTAATTATAGTGTGTTGGAGCAAACTTGATTAATAGTCTGCTGGAGTATAGCAATTGCTGTGCTCTGGCAGCCTCCTGCATCTTGTGTGTAAGTGTTCATGTGCTTCAAAAATCGAATGAGCTTTAGTTCAAGCACCCTCACCACCATTTTGACACGCGGGGGTGCTCATACATGAGCCACTGTGGTGCTTTAGAGTGGCTCTCAGAGCCACTGTAATTAAAGCGCTGCCCCCTGACACACACACGCATACACACACATGCACAGTGTCAAGTGCCTAATTAAAACCCCAGCCCACAGAGTCAAGTGCCCTTGTTAAATTCTTCATAGAAAAGGAAGGGGAGGGGAGCACACCGTCTGCAGATCTATCAGGGCCTCAGGCATCAGCATGGTAGAGTTGCTGTTCTGTGCTGTTCTTCCTCCCACCTCTCAAGCCTGCGCATTACAAAAAAATGGAAGCAGATATTCTAAACCAAGAATTCTTGCTCCCCTCATTTATTTTCTAGGCAGCTTTCAAAGTAGGTTTAACTTGTGCTTGCCTTATTTTCAAATGTATCTCATTTATGTATAAAATGTGCATCTGTTTTCAAACTACACTAATTTAATGTTCAACTACTGTCTAGCACTATCTGGATCAGAGTTACCACTATCCTAACTCTGGTATATTTATGAATTTATTTTGCCTTTGATAGGCAAAGGTTTGTGTTTTCTCCTAACTGAAGCAAACCAGGAAGAAAACAACTCTGTATATACAGTAAGGCTGTCAATTAATTACCATTAATGTGCGCAGTTAACGCAAGAACCAGTTAACACCCTAATTTTTTTTAACACATTAATTGTGGCTTTGGAGCCTGGGCTGCCCTGCCCCACTGCCATCACCACCGCCTCCAGGCTGCCCTGCGGGACAGTGGTGGCAGTGCAGAGGAGCTGTGAAACAGTCCAGGTGCAGGCTCTGGCCAGCTGAAGCAGTAAGTGGGGGGAGGGGAACGTACCCACCCACGCAACCATCCACAACATCCCTGCCCCCCCCCCCCCCCCCCCCCCCCC